TTTTTTTTTTTGAAACAGGGTCTCACTATGTAGCCCAGGCTGACCTTGAACTCACAGGGAACCTCCTGCCTCAGCATCCTGGGTGCTGGGATTATAGCCATGCACCATAATGCCTGGCTGATAGAACACTTTCTTTACTAGGAAGATTTTGTATTGTGGGGGAGTTACACATAGTATGTTTTGTAGGAAGAACACAAGAATGAAAAATAAATGATTCTCTGGCCCTTTCTGGCACTCCATGCCAATCTTGTAGGTCCTCCATTGGCAGCCAGTTCTGCCTCCCCAGAAGTCTGCTCCATAAATTACTTTTTTTTTTTTAAGGATTTAAGGAAGAACAAAGGAATTGGCTACTGAATCATCATAAAATCTGGGAGTGAGCTGCTGCTAGATGTTGGGACCTTATTTGAAGTATGAGTAACTGTGAAATTTACTTCCTACTATGGCAGCGTTCTTTTCTGGATTAACATGCCTGGGATGGGGCTGTGCTATCTTTGTCATTCTTAGACACCAGTGTCCTCCCAGGGCCTTGCAGCAGAGGTGGGGGCTCTGAATGTGACCCTGAGCAAGCGGAGGCTGAGGGGCATGGGCTCCGCATTTGTAGCATATACATGTGCGGGATCTACGTGCCTTGGGAAAGGCCTGCTGTGGGGTTAAATGGCATGGGGTGGGGGCGATGTGAGGTGGGAGGATCCTATTCCCCTGACAACTCTTTCTAGATCCGGAGCCTTTTCATGTGCTTTAAAAGGAGTTTCTGCCCTCTCCAGTAGACATCATTGGCTTTGCCTATTTCAGATTCTCACTTGCAGTTCTTTCTGTGAGCTCTCACCTGACAACAGGAACCTGATACCTTAGGATCTGGGTATGGATGTGGATTGGTTTGTCTTTTCACTCATGCAGGCATCTTGTGGGCTGCCCACTGTGGGAACTTGGGTAAGAGTCTGATGAACTCTTGGGAAGAACACGGATGCAGAGATGGCAGTGGGGCTGGGAGATGTAGCCCAGAGACTTCAGGTGGAGCGTGCTGGACACAGGGGAACCGGCTGCATGCATAGGAGTGTAGGCTGGAGAGATATGATTTGCTGAAGGTGTGGGGCAGGTGGAGGGAACCTGGGAATGGGTGTTTCTTCGTGTACTGAGGAGGATAAGTGTCGGGTGGGGGCGGTTTGGAGAGGTCAGGCTTTTCCTCCTTCCTCTGTGGTTCACCTTGACGCACCCCCAGCTGTGAACGTCAGTGGCCACACAGACTCTACGCTGCTGCAGCTCAGCCTGGCGGGGGCGCTGGCAGTGAGCGGACCGAGCCGTTCCGGGAGAGAAGAGCATGTTGTGGTGGAGGTGACCCAGACGGGCGCTTTGAACTGGAGGCGGCGGCAGCCACAGCAGGTTACAGTTACGTGTTATTTGAAAGCAATTGTAAAACCTCATCTCATCCCCTCATAAATTGACTTTACTCTTGAATGGATTTGATGGGAAACCATAATGCAATAACACCGTCATTAGTCAAGCCATTGACTCTGTATTTTATTTTGTTGCTGAAATCCTTTCTCTAAATCATTTCTAAAATGATTGCCATTTCAGTAAAATTAGACTTGCAACTGCATTCAGAACCATTTTACTAGGCCATGCAGGGAGACATCATATATTCGAAAGTAGTTCTATTTGGAAGTGCAGCTCCATTTGGCCTCACCTCAGGGTATAGAAGACCTGCTGTGCATGTGGACAACTGCTGGATGCGTGGATCCTGGGAACTTGTACCTCTGTATCCAGGGGCCACCGTGCTGCCTGTCTCATCTCACATCCTGCAGAGTCAGCCTGCGAGTAGGGAAGGGGCCAGCTGTGGCCAGAGCCCAGATGTCAATGTCAAAGGCATGAGCCTCTCATGTATCTGACCCATCTGACTCCTGGTTTCAGGGACTGCACTGGATGTTCACAGTGACTTCTGCATGGAAATCATAGCCATACACAAAGGGTTTTCCTTGTAACCAACCAGGAGAAGAAAACCCTACTTGTGCAAGAAGTTATACCCCTCACATTTTCCTGCTTCCCAGAGTTCAGTCCATAGAGCTAAGATCTATTTTGGAAGAAGGATGCAGTTTCTTGGGCAATGACCAGTGCAACACCAGCATTTTAAACCAGCTGTCCTGCCTCAGTCTTAGGCCATACCCATGGTTCCCCCTGTGTGAAGTGCACAGC